CATTTTAACTAGCAGGATCAGTTTCTTTGGTATACCCGAATGTTCCATTGCTCGATACAGTTTGACTCTATCGACTCTATCATAATATGCTTGTTTAAAATCCACAAACAAAACATGCAGGGGAACTTTACCTTCATAACAAGTCGTGTGTACAAGTCGTTTGTATCTCCTATAATGAGAAGATTTGGTCTATAGTAGATCTGTACTTTCTAAAGCCGGCCTTATACTCATGTAGGATTCTTTCCGTATAGCAGTTAAGTTTATTTCCCAATATTCTTGCCAAGATTTTGTATACCGTGTCTAGTAAGACAAACCTCTATAGTTGTCACACTTCAGTTTGTCTCCTTTTTTATGCAGGGGGCATATGCGGGCCTCATACCACTCCGATGGCATTATTTCCTTTTCCCATACCTGCAATAGTAGCTGATATATTATTCTTTCTAGTTGTTTTCCATCAAACTTGATCATTTCTATGCATATGTCATTTTTACCAGGACTTCTCATTGGTTACTTTGGTCACGTAGTCGATAATCCTAAAAAATTAGAAAAAAATGCAGGTGTGTTTTTTTTCAGTTTCTTTCTGTCACACTTGGAGAACGCAATCAGTCTATTTTTATTAAATATCTATAAGCAAAACCGTCTACACTGAGCACGTTTCTGTTATTTTTGTTTAGGTTTGTTAGGTTATGTAGTCCGGCTCTAAAAATTAAACACGATAAAAAAGCAAAGCTAGATAGAAGTAATATTAGATGCTCAGAAGAGTAGCTGAAGAAGATTAAGTCCATTTCTATAGTGTATTTTTATGTATGAGAGAGTAATAAAACAATAAATTATGTATGCAAATCCATAAACTGTTGATACGGGTGACTCAATGAAAAACAGATATTTGTCAACAAGTTTACAGAAGTATATAGGAAAACAATTTTAAATTGAGTATGACCACCAGGTATAAAGGTTGGAGCAGAATAGAATACAATAGTTGTGAGGGTTACTAATCCCTAAATAAGGTTGCCAGTGTCGGAGTGATGGAGGTTAACAGGTACTAATGAATTTGCAAGAAATGTAAGATGTTTATTTTATTGGTTATATATAACCAATAAAAGTTTAATAAGTACCTACCTATTTGCAAAAGTTTAATTCTTTAGATAAAATAAAACGTTTTATTTTATCTGAAATGAGTGCATTCCACGAAGTAAGGGTTTCACAATCAAACATTTAATTTTTGAATTCCAGGAATCTATGACAGTAATTGACTAGATAATTACTTTCTAAACTTATTCCACAGAAAATGTGATAGTGGGTTTTTTCCATTTTGTAGGAAGGTCCAAGTGACGTATTCAAAATTCTTAACAGTTCACTAAAAGTAGGTACTTCAGTTGCAAGGTGCAGTTTATTGTGTATACTAGTGTTATGGAAAATTTGGAAGTGCCGTGTAAACGCCGAAAAATTGGTCCTTTAACAGTTTGTTTTAAATCATTTACAGACAAACGTTTATCTGAAAGTGTTGATGAGACCGTTGAGTTAGTTAGCAGTACACTTGGTGTTGGAAAATCTACGATTTATAGAGTTATTAAAGAAGAGAAATGTAGTAGTTTTCAAATGCCACGTAATGCTCCAGGGAAACCAAAATTTCAAATAGAATATCATTTTAAAGAAGGACTTCGACGGAAAGTGCATGAATTCTTCTTTAGACAAGAATTTCCAAAATTGGATAAAGTTCTTGTCTCAGTTCGAGATGATAAGGATTACCCAGAAATGAGTCGAAGTACGTTATGGAAACTTTTAAAAGAAATAGGCTTCCGCTGGAAAAAGAATCTCAGAAAGTCTATTTTATTAGAAAGAAGCGATATTGTCATATGGAGAAGACATTTTCTAAGAACCATAAAGAAAATGAGAAACCAAAAACGAAAAATATTTTATCTTGATGAAACATGGATCAACGAGGGTCATACACCAAATAAATTTTGCCAGGATGAAACTGTTACAAGTCAAAGGCACGCTTTCGTAAATAACTTATCTACTGCTTTAAACCCACCATCAGGAAAGGGACGCAGGCTGATAATAGTACACATTGGCAGTTCAGACGATTTTGTTGAAGGTGGTTTATTAACTTTTGGATCAACTCGTACCGGTGACTACCATGAAGACATGAACGCTGATGTCTTTCAAGAATGGTTCGAACAAATGATAGATCTTCTTCCTAAGAACTGTGTAATAGTAATGGATAATGCAAGTTATCACTCCAGACTTATAGACGGACTGCCCACAACCAAGTGGTTAAAAAAAGACTTGCAGAATTGGCTGAGTTAAATAGTATATTACATAACGAGAGTTGTAAGAAGCTTATTACATGCAAGTAAAAAAGTTGCGCGCGAGCCGCGTAGCGGCGAGCGCAGTAATTTTACAAGCATGTAATAATCTTACAACTCAAGTTGTGTACTATACTTTTTCTACCATTATTTTCGTTTATAAAAATAAAAATTAAATTACCACTATATTTACACTGACAGTTTAATAATTTTTAATCTGTCAAAATAACGTTACCATGGAAACGTTAATTCGTTTCCATGGTAACTCGACCAACTGACTTACGAGGCTTATGTGATATTACATATTTTTATAAAACTGAAGCGTAATTTTTTTTATTACGTGCTAGTCATTACGTGTCAGTATCAGTTATGATGCATTTACTTAGCATCCAAATAGTAGGTAATATACAATTTACTAGTAAGAGAGTAGAAAAAAAATATTACGTACCATCCCGGATCTATAAGAAGGGAACTTTATTCATTGTGTGCCCTTCATAAAGAAAAATTTAAAAAATACGAAATTAATGAAATTGCCAAAAATCGTGGAATGACAGTACTTAGATCCCCACCATATCATTGTGAATTAAACCCGATTGAACTGGTATGTGCACAGATAAAGAGTGAAGTTTCAAGAAAAAATACCACTTTTAAAATTCATGATGTTAAACAGTTGTTTTTGGGGGCCGTAAATAATGTAAAACCTGAAAACTGGAAAAAGGCAGTAAATCATACTATTAAAGAAGAGGAAAAAATGTAGAAGCTGGACAATATTACTGATAAAATAATCGAGCCAGTTATTGTAAATCTTGGTTCTGAAAGTTCATCTTCTGAATCTGATTTGGATTTGCAACAAGTAGCTGTAAGTTTTATATTAATATTTTTATTCATCTATTTAACATACCTTAGACGGTTTTAAAAACTCTTTTTCTCTTTTGTAATTTTTAAAAATTAAAAAAAATGTGAATATTTTAAAACCCTTTTTAATGTAGGCCAGTCAGTTCTAATATAGTGTGTGATAAAAGAGGTCACTTTTGTTTACATACACATAACACTTTATAACACTGAAATAATTCATTTATTTTTTACAATTATTCAAAGTAATTTTTCAATTAATCTTGAGCACGCCCATGGAGTGGTCGAAGGTACCAGTTAAAATTATGCTAATTACTCTCTCGTTCATAAAAATAAACTATAGCAATATGATAATGAATACCATTGTATCTTATAATTTACAACTCACTGTACTTTCTTTGAAGAATCTAATATTTAATTTTTAGTTATGTAAAATGTGTAATTCATTTACCTAAAGCAGATTGTTTATTTCTCTTAGATAACACTAATCTCACCCGTATCTCGCCCGGTACAAATAAAATCAATTTGAACTTAATAACCTTCTCATCATTAATCAGCTTATCTATAATTTAAAACAACGGAATACTTTAACGGAGTTTTTATTCTGTCAGTTCGGTGTTGCAGCTGCAGCAGTGAGTGTTGGATTGTGAAAGTGTGTAGGCAATAATCACGATGAGTGATTTAAAAATTGCTGTTGTCGGTTCTGGTATAATAGGCCTGACGACCGGAATTGAGTTATTGAAGAGTGTCAATAATGCAGAAATTACTATTATAGCCGAGGGCTTCAACACAGATACCTGCAGTTGGGCAGCTGCAGGAATATTTCGACCGGGTCACGGTTTTATAGGGCCCAATAGGGAAATTACTCAGTAAGTAAAAAGTTTTTAAACCTTTTACATATACTTTGGCTTTATATTTATATAATTAACCATTAGAAGTACCTTCGTAGGAGTACAAGAAATCGAATTCACTACGAATATAGGCCATGATGAACGGCATTTGGAGTGCAATTTTTAGACTCCCTTGCCGATTCATTCATCAAGCTGTTTGCTTCGCAAGTTTTAGGGTGCACGGCGGCTTATATTTGAATTCGATTTCGCCAGGTAGAAATCGTATGATTTCTCTTTTTGTTCTTAGATGGCGTAGTTACGTCCGTAAATAGTTATTTTTAATAACTATAATCTACGACGGGAAAATATTTTGGTTTGATATGGAGTAGTGGCAATACCGTACTGAGGAGATCTAAAGAGATCGAAATACGTATATGCGGCTTGTTGCTGCTCTATATCAAATCAAAATCTAATACCGTCATTTTGTTTTGTTTATTTACTTCATTTGGAGTACCAGAAATCGAATTCACTACGAATATAGGCCATGATGAACTGCATTTGGAGTGTAATTTTTAGACTCCCTTGTCGATTCATTCATCAAGCTGTTTGCTTCGCAAGTTTTAGGGAGCACGGCGGCTTATATTTAAATTCGATTTCGCCAGGTAGAATTGTATGATTTCTCTTTTTGAAAATTTTAATGTTTGCATTTAGAATAAAAATATGTTTTCTATATTTCAAAGCCGGTACCTATCCACTCATATGTATATTTATTTAAAACAAATCTTATCTATCAGAGATAAAATATAGCTAAAATAAACAAGCAGGTTGTTAAACTTTTTAGAATTTATCTTAAATTATGTAAAATTGTAAATATTTAACCGGTACCAAATATTTAAATTCGCAAATAGTTAACTATCGTTCTAATGAATATATGCGCATATGTATACACTGTGTGTCAGCCAAATGGAATAAATTAGCTAATCAATAAATGGGGAGTATTCGAAAAAAAAAAACGGTGAAACACGTGGATTAATATTTATAGTTGCGCATTTTTTACCATAAAAACTTTTTATACGGAGTGTATCAGATAACGGTGGCCAATATCACTTGCTTATTTTAAATAAAATACCCTGTATATTAAATAATTTTTAAATTCCTCAGATTATTTTAGACATTTTTTAAATATAATGTCCTATACCTATCGTTGACTGTTTCGGAAATATTAAGTAAAATGCAAAAATTCACATTTAGAAAAAAAACTATCTATCTGTCGACAGTGGCTACAACATATTCAAAAACTTCTAAATATTTTAAATCTAAACAATAATGTCAATGTAGGAGATGTTCAAAATGATCCCTACGAACGTCTTGGCAACAGCCTAACCGTGAATACAAATTTCTTCTAACGTTACTCAACATCTCAGATGTGATCGACCTAATAGCCAGCTTTATTCGTCTTCCTAAGTCAACTATGGTTGCAGTACCACTTATTCCCTTTTGAGACTTTAAAACAGACGTTTGACATATAGATTGGTCCAATGCAACTTTCCGAATAGGTTTATGCGAATCTGAAGTGTATACTTTTCATTCTTCGAATCTTCGAAAATCCCAAAAGGATAGAAACTGATTTTGTTAAATCGTGTTTAGTTTATAGTCACCACAATAGGTGGCGCCTCTTGTAGCTTCCACGACTTATACAAAACAAACAGTGACATTCGCTGACCATCTGTGTATGAATTTTTATCTTTCCCTGATCTCTGATGAAACAGGGAATATGCGGAAATATCGTTATACAGTCCTAATGATACCGATTCATACACAAAATGTTTGACGAATTGTACTGGATGACCAGGTCCAATTGTGTCGTTTTAACTGACAAGTACTACGTGTTAAAAATCGAGCAGAGAGACATGTAGTTCCTAAATTAATAAAAAACTTTATCCATTATCATCGACCTAGAGTCACAACATAATTAAAATTTAAAATTTGGAATGATGTAAACCCATATATGGAGATCACAGCCACAATTTTATTATTAGCTTCAACTACATAAGGCACTGAGGATGATCTGTTCAGATCGAAAACGTTCTGTTGCAACATAAATTTTGACGACACTTTTTTTAAAAAGTTTTAACTATCTTCTGTATGTTTTTTTACCTACATTTTTGTTTTAGAAAGTGGATAGACGATTCATTTTATTATTGGAAAAATATAAGAGATAGTGTTGACGCTGCAGAAGCAGGTGTAACAGAAATTTCGGGATATACATTTTCAAACAGAGAAAAAAGTATCGTTAGGGTAAGTCTTCCTACTATAAACGCAAATGACAGTTAAGTGTACGATTTTTTTCTAAACTGATATAATCTATTATTTTAGAATGCTTTCATTGAGAAACTGGTACCTATCTACAGGAAAGCAACCGAAAAAGAATTAACAACTTTGTGCCCAGATACTTACAAATATGGATCATTTTATAAAACCCTTGTTACAGACTCTACCGTCCATCTGCCATGGGCAACAAACAAGTTTAAGTCTTTAGGGGGAAAAGTAATAAATCGGCGTGTTGATAATTTAGTATCTTTGGGAGATCAGTATGACATTGTGGTGAACTGTACTGGTTTAGGGGCAAAAAAATTATGCAATGATCCATATCTTACTCCAATAAGGGGACAAGTTATAAAGGTAATTTATATAGGTTATTATTAGTATATTTTTAGTATTTTTTGTTTAAAAGTATTTCTTGGTCTTTTTGGCAGTAGTTTCATTTAATATCGACTTCTGTGCGTTTTAAATGAGTATTGCAAAGAAATCTTTTATACATGTCACACCTTTTTAAATATTTATTGTCACTACCCGTACAAGAATAACAATGACCTCGTTTTTTTGCAGATTGCGGTACTTGTATTTGCTTTTTTACACTAACACCGGTGGTCTCTATTCCAGTGATTATGGATTTATAGTACCCGGTGGGTCCTTCGTGTATTGCTTCAGCTCTTCGTTTTGTATTGGGTAAGGTTAATGGTTTCCCAGGCTCCTACAAAAATAGTTTTCTGCGATGTTTTATATTTACTTGTTTGTTCCATTCCGGATATTATATATTCCATATGTTCTCTGAGGCTGAGAGCTATTTTTCAACTACAACTTGGTGTTTTATTTCGACTAATCTATGTCATGTAAGAAATATCTTGCCTTTATTAAGGCAAGTCACCAAAGCGAAACATTTACAAGTAAATAACCCGAAAATGGACCTGGAGAGAGGAGCTCTCGACATCATTTCCGAAGCCTTCTACAGAGTACCCGGGGATATCAGAAGGTACCACGTCCGACAACGTGGATTATTTTGAACCTGCGACCCAGCTCGCTTTGCACAAGGCAACACACCATTGACTTCAACATGGGTTAAAGTCAAGAGAACAGTGGGGAGAGGTTAAAGAGCTATATTCTTTACCATCGAGCTCTCTCTACAGTTCTGATGCCTTTCGTGTGTCAAATGTCTCAACGGCCTGCCTTCCTCGACGATTGAAGCCCTGGAAGCTACTGAGATTCTAAAGTAGCCACAGTCCCTTCCTGTCACCCCAAAATTTGGCGATATCACAGAGCCCCGAGAAAACTCGCCTACAAAACCCCAGGATAAGTGGATGGGAACCCGATTGCAGAGAAGAAAACGAACCCGGTGAGGGAAATGGTACACCCACCGTGGATAAATTGAAGGAAGATCTCGCTTTCCCGATGCGTGCTTTAATCTCCTGGTTTTTGGTCTATTCTTCATTGATTATTATGCCGAGGTAGTTGTAGTACGTCACTATTTCTATAGAGTATCGGTTGACCTTCTGTTGTCCTTTTCTTGCTAATTATTATAAGCTTTGTCTTCTTAACGTTTATACTGAGTCCATATTGTTAACCATAATACGTGATTTTGTTAATAAGAACTTGTAGGTCTTCTAAGATGTCCACAATGTCCACATCTAATGTTGTTTAGCTGGTAACCATTTGGTACAATATCTTTTTTAGTTTCGTGCAAAGCTTCCATAAATATTCTTGCAGAGTACAAACTGAAGATTACAGGGGACAAAGATAGCCTGTCTGAGAGATTTGCCGTCTGATTCCAGTAAAGGTTTTTTTAATTGTTTTCAGATCTTGGTTCTTAATTCCTGCTCCTTTTAGTATTTGCATCATCTTAGCGTTCTGTACTCGATCAAACGCTTTCTCGTAATCAACCAGACATGCATATATGTCGCAGTTGACGTCTCTGCATCTCTGGAATAAGACTTGTACTGAGAACAAAGCCTTTCTAGTACCAACAGTTTTTGTGAACCCGAACTAGTTGGGGGAAATTTGACTTTCACACAGCTTGTAGGAATTAATATTATCTTTAGAAATAATTTTGGGAAATGAGTCATAAGGATTTTTGATGGAAACATACTCTAATTATTCCAGTACTTAAAATAAAGTGTATTATACATGTACTTTTATCATTTTAGGTAAACGCCCCATGGATAAAAATGTTCTTCTACGCTGAAAGCGATACCTACATAATTCCAGGTTTTAATCACGTCACGCTTGGTGGAACTCGCCAGTACGATTCTTATAATACAGAAGTAGACAAATACGATGGCATGTCGATAAGAGAGAGGTGTGAGAGATTAGTACCTAGCTTAAAACCAGCCACAGAAGTACGACAGGTTGTAGGTTTGCGTCCTCATCGAACAATTGTAAGGGTGGAGAAGGAAATCTTACTTACTGCAGGTGGAAAAAAAGTGAAGGTTGTACATAATTATGGTCACGGTGGTTACGGAGTAACTACTGCTCCAGGAACAGCGCTATATGCTTGTGACTTAGTTAAAGAGATATGGGCTGGAACTAGCAAGCTATAGATTAAATTTTGTTCTGGTTATCGGTCTTATAGAAGCATTTCTGTGAACTTTGACTAGAGGATTTTTAAAAACTTAATTCTTGCCAAAAATTAATATATGGTTTGATAGTTCTTAATGCCAAATGTTCCTTGATTTCCTTCACATTTGTATAAATTATTATATATATGTAATATGGTCATTTTCAATTGAATGTATATAGATATACATACTACTTGAAATTAAACCTAATACTTAATGGTTAAACTTGATTTAAAACTGCTTTGTCGTTTGTTTTTTGATACCTCACCCAAAAAATCCAATGCATCTAAACGTGACTATGATCGCACGATAAGCTTGATGTCTCACGTAATAAAAACATTCTTGATATGTACTGATAAGACGTACGAACAGCCAATGAAAGTGGAAGACACCCAACTCGACTTAGAAACAGAGTGAGAACTCATAAGGCTCTACTCTTACTAAATATATTTTCAAAGAAAGCGCGTGATATAAATGTAAAAATGTACACCTTCCTTATGGCTTTTCACAAAGCTTTTAATTGCGTTCAACAGTAGAACCTAGCAGAAATAGTCTAACCAAAGGATGACGAGGGTGACTTACCTTATTTGCGAATTATCACAAAAGTATATTAGCATCAGATAGTTCAAGTAAGTTCCCACTTCTCAGTACATTTCAGTACTCAAAAAACATCTTCGCAGAGGTTCTTTAAGTTAATGGGGCATGAATCATAATCAATACCAAACCAATTAATAATATGTGCATTTTATTTCTTTATAACTGTAATAATATCTAAATATAATACAACTAGTACCTAATTTTTGTACCTTTTACCGTTAATATACTTGTATACAATGATTTATTTGCTATTATAGGAATGATAAGATACAGCTTTTATAAAATCTAACCTACTTATTTGTTGGGATCGTAGTTTATCTATCATTTTCTTCAAAAATGCCAATTTAGTTTTAACAGTAGTATCTTTGATTTTTGCTGGTATATGTAAACTATTTTGACATAAGTGTCTACTTGAAATTCTTTTAACTTTTCAATAAAAATAAAAATAGAAGGATGTGTTGAATAAAAAGAAGAATTAAATCTCGAATGAAAGGATTCACAGGCATTTGTGGTCCTCGCAATAGACGGATTCTGAATAGACCATATGCGTGGTGGAAATAGAGCGCCATCGAAAATGTAATTTTCCAGTAAATAATCTGCATATATATCAAGTGTTGCGTTTATAGGTTTATATGACATTAAATCATAAAGAAAGCATTCTGCAACTTCTGCTGGATTTAAATAAGTTAAACCAAACGTATGCCTTAACCATTTTCCAATTTCTGAATTTGTATAATTATATTCTTGTACCAAACCCAAAGATTGAATTTTTTTAAACCAGTTTTGGTGTAAGTGAAAACGGCATCCACTAATTTTTGCATTGGGCCACATATACAATAAAGCACAGTGAATTGCTTTTTCAAAGTCCACAAATATTTCAGTTGGCTCTAATGATAATTGAAATGTTTCAAAAATCTTAGACCTTAATAAAGAAAATAAATTTTTGTATGTCATTGACAATTTGTCCTTTAACAAACAGTATGCTAAAGGAACATAATGTCCATTTTCCAAGCCATGTATAGTAAATAATTGTAGAAAATATTTGGTACTGTATGAAAATGTACCATCCATATACAAAGTTTTTAATTTACACAACAAATGAATATTTGTCTCGCATGAAAATACAATTACATTTATTTCAGTATGATTTACGCGTTATGGACTTCTGATATGCTTCTTGGTAACGGACCTGGTAACAGTTTACGACGACAGTTGTAAATGTTCTTTCTTATGCTAGCTCTGTCAGGAACCGTCAGCAAATTGGCGTCACACTCAACAACAGCAGTTCTTGTAATTTTGGCAGGCTTTTCCGATATGTCCTCTTGGGCTTTTCTTTTACATGCATTGGTTACCATCTTTACTTCAAGCTTTTTTGGATTGGCTTCATGATTATGTACCAAATCACTTCTTGTGATGGTGAGGTCCTCACAGCCTATTGTAAACACTTTTGCGGAACACTTAGTGTTTCTTTGAATGCAGCACCAAAATATCTCGCCGCTTTTTAACACTTTCTGTTTCGAGAACGAATGATGTTCCACCACTAATAAATCTCGACCACGGGAACTTTCTATCAAACTCATTTTTTAAATATCCGTATAAGTGCACAAGTCAACGTCAAACAAGAAATAAATTACAACACGGCCCCCCGCCGTGACAATAAATATTGGGAAAACCCGCTTGTCCTGCTTGGGTGCAAATGTCCATCGCCGCTAATTACCTACCTACCTGCTCTACGCCGCGGTGTCGAAATTTCCTATAATAAAATTTGACCCTTCGATTACCCCAGGTACAAAGAAGATTTGGTGTCGAAAGTTCGCCCGCCGAAAAAATGAATGGTATTTAGTTTCTAGGAAGGTACTGAAAAGGTAGAAATTTAAAAAAATAAAATAAGAATTATCCAAAATTTTTATTTTGTCGTAGACTCACAGACCACATCCGATGAACGTAGGGTTAAAAGGAATATAGCTTGAGGGCAGGGGGTTTATTTTAATTTTTAAGGTTATGAGGGTAACATTAGACCGGGTTAGAATTTAACAATAATTATTTTCAACTAAAAATATAAAACTTATGAAGTATATTGTATTATTAGGTACTTTAAACTTCCTGAACTATAAATTTTGTACGTTTTTTTTTGGTAAATTATAAAATTTAGTGTAGCATACCGATAAAAATGAAGTTATTTGTGGCAAAACGGAAGAACTAAAAAAACATCCACTAATTATCTTTTCATTAGTGCTCAACCGAAAAGTAATTCTAAAAGCTTACTGGAGAAGCTTAAAATGATTTTGAAAATGTTGGAAGTTCTTCATAATCTACGAAGCGAACTTTAATGAGATTTTGATATTTACTACAGTCCTTTAGATACGCTTAGGTTAAACTTTTGGGATAGTAGGTAAGAGTCCTTGAAAATTATTTTAAACTACACCGCAATCACGTAATTTGATATTCGATTTAAGTGAATTAGTCCGGTCTATAAAAAACTGCGAATTTAAAAAACTTTAATCGAAGCCAGGAGGAGGGAAAACGGTAAATATTTTATATTTTGGAAATAGACCACAATAACTGTAATTTATTGTTGTATTTGATGTTTTGACTTCAAACTTATTCGAATAATTATAATAAATAAACACGTTTAAGTGATGGTGAGTGAATTTCGGATAGTTTTTGAGATTCTTGTCAGCGGTTCCAGCTCAATTAACAGATTAAGGTTCATAAGAGCCCAACACGGACTCACACATAAAAGTTATATAAATACGGGCCCCGTGATCTCGATGAGCTTGGTAGCTGTGTAGCTCAACAGCGGCTTCTCGAACTTATTTAACCCTTTAATTTTGGGGTCGCGGTCATAAAGTGTACTGTATAGTGCGCGGTTAATCTCAGAGATACATTCGTTTAAGTTTAATGTTTCAATCACTTTAAAAAAACACTTAAGATCGGAAGAAACGTGTATTTTGAACATATAGTATTGTGCGAATTAATGTGAACAGAGATCGAAATGCAGTTTTCATAAGTTGGCACACCTGCTGGGCCTATTCTCTCAACTGTTTTGTCAAAAAAACAGCATAATCTTAAAACCTTATTAGTATATTGTTCAAAACATGTGCTGTGTGTTTTATATCATTATTCAATTTTGCTGTATTTTAGGTTATGTGCAAGTTGGTGTTATTTTCATTGATTTAACTGTGCAATCAGATTTAACATTTTAATATGGATATCACTACTAGAAAAAGAGAAAGGATCGTAACATTTAGTGAGCATACACTAAGTGGAGTATTGTGTAAGTTTGGTTGCAGTAAACAAAATTATTAAACAAAAAAAGGAAACAGGGTCAGTTGAAGTGCAGCTTTAGAAGAAAATGTGGAAGAAAACGAAAGACTACTCCTCAAGATGAAGCCTTTCTTTTGCGCGATAGCAAACTTCATCCCAGAAAAACAAGTTGTGACCTTCAGCAAGATTTAGAAATGGCTCGAATAAAAACGACTCAACGGTACGCAGACGCCTCTTAAAAGGAAGGAGAAGAGCCGTGAGACCGCAGAAGAAACAACTTCTGGCAGTGCCTATGATGAAAAAATGACTAAATTGGGCAAAAAATACGCTCATTGGACTGCAGAAGATTGGAGAAAAGTGTTTTTTTCTGATGAGACCCACTTCGTAGTGCAGGGTCAGCGATCAAAATTTCTACGAAAGGCAGCCAATGAGTCACTTTCTGCTAGCCATATTAAGCAAACATTTAATCATCCAACCAAAAAAATTTCTGCTGATTTTTTCCATACTCAGGAACTGGCACTCTTATTCCTATTGAAGGTCTAATGAACAGTAAAGTAGAAGATCCAAATCAATCAAAAACCCAGGAGCAAGCAACAATACACCATTGGAGCTTCCATCAATTCAAGAAGTGCGGGATTTAATAAAACACCTAAAAAATAATAAATCTTCAGGAAGTGATGGTATACCCGCGGAACTTATTAATTGTGGAGGTACTACTCTGACTAACCATGTATATAAAATCATACTGAGAGCCTGAAATGAGGAGAAACTTCTGGAAGAGTGGTGTATTGGGATCGTTTGCCCGCTACACAAAAAGGGTGATTAATTGGAATGTAGAAACTATAAGGGAATAACCCTCCTTAATACAGCATACAAAATATTTTCCAGTATTTTATATAGTCGCCTGAGTGCATATTCAGAGGAGCTTCTTAGCGAATATCAAAGTGGTTTTAGGCCTGGTCGATCAACAACAGACTAGATCTTTGTGCTAAAGCAAATACTGGAAAAAACCAAAGAATTTAATATCGACACATATCATCTTTTCGTAGATTTTAAATCAGCCTATGATAGTGTCCTAAGAAACAAATTTTATGAAGCCATAGATGAATTTTACATCCCTGATAAACTGATAAGATTGCTTCAACTGTTGATTCAACACAGCTCTGGAAAAGGCGGTCAGGGATACCCAAACAGAGGAAACATTTTTAATAAATCGTTCCAAATTTTGGCATATGCAGATGATGTTGACCTAGTTTGACCTTGTCAAATGCCTAAAAAATATGGGCCTGCAAGTAAATGAGGAGAAAACTAAGATAATGGCATCAACATCCAACAATAGAGCCAGAAATATCGCCCACCAATTCATTGTTGATAACTCT